CAGCAAGAGATACGCGACCATTACCCACATCTCTTCGGTACGTATCTTTTCTCAACTCCCTTATTAGAATTCGGGACGAATTCATTTTAAGGGGGGTAGAATGTAATAACCCGTAAATTCAACTTTGAAACCGAATTTTAGAAAATCAAATATGAGCCATAAAAATGTCCCCAAAATATTAAATTAGACCCTAACCAAATTGACCCGAAGGATTGGACCGAAACGAGCGAGAAAAACGGGCGAAAACGGGCCAGAATGTCCGGTCTGACAAGCAGACCGTCCGTTCCAGACCAAGCGGAACGTCCGTTCCGCTTATGCAGACCGTCCGTTCCGGCGGTCTTGGCCAGATCACGCGCCGCCTCTTCCTTCTGCTGAGCCACGACCGCAATTTCGCCGATTTACCGGCGTGTGACACCTCCTGCTTGCTCCGGGAAACCTCCCGCTCCTCTGGGACACGGGATTTCGCCCCCAAATCCGCCATTCTTCAGTCATTTTCACTCTCTCACTCTCCCACAAACTCTCTCAAAAGTCCGAAAACTTTGATCTTCGATTGGAGCTCCGATTTCGATCGAAATCAACAAATAAACCAAGCAATCAACTCTAGGAAACCTTCCCAACAAAGCCCAAAGCTCTAACTTGAATTAGGTGAGTGTTTCGGATTATGCCCGAAAATGATGATCAAATTGAAAATGGAGATTTGATTGCTTTGAGTGAAAATTGCATGAAATTGGTGTTAGATTTGGATTCTTGATGTTCTAAGGATCATTTTGGTGTATAGCTTGTTGAGTTTGGTGCGAAAATTTGGAACCCGAAGTTCATGGTACGCCTAGACCGAACGGTCCAGGCCTGGACCGTTCGTTCTAGGGTTGCAGGGTCGCGAGGAAGAAGACGGGTCTAGACCGTCCGTTCTGGACCTGGACCGTCCGTTATGGACCTAGACCGTCCGTTCCATTCGTTGCGGAGCATCTGTTCCAGCTTCGGCCAGACCGAAGGGATCAGACCACCCAGTCCGTCCGTTCCAGACAGGGTAGACCGTCCATTCTGGACCCCTGTCTCCCCGTTTTGGTTCGTTCCTTCGGATCGAACGGAATCCGATGCAACCGACCCCTACACGTGACCTACCTAGACCCGTTCCCTACCCGAATCTCATGAAACTTGAATGAAACCGACCTACGGTAAGTAAAACCTTCGGAACGAGCTGAATTGGTAATCCAAGATGGTCGGAACCCAATTTGATCGGATCGGAGGGTAAAAGAATAGAATGAATGTAATGGAAACGAGATAACCAAAATGACGAGTAAAGACGTATGTATATCCGATTAAAGTATAATGATATATGAGTGCATGTGAATGGGGAATCGGGTAGTTGACATGGCGTGAGACTTTATTCCGGAGGGTCGGGATAAGGTTGAGCGTGTGATTGTAGCGGGTTGATGTGATATTCCGATGATTGCATTGGCTGAGATCTCCTCTTTGTGATCTCTAACCCGGGTCGGGTTTCATATTGAGGAGGCATGATTGTGATTGGTTACCTACGGGCAGAGCTTGGAGCCGATGATACACGTGATAGTCTTGAGTGATTGAGCTATCACGGGGTTGAGGAAATCTTACGGTTACACTGTAACCGCGCCAACGTTCCACTAGCTATGGAACGGGATCGGAATTGAGTGATTCTCCCGGCAGAGACTGGCAATACATTTATCCGTGACTCGGGATTGAGCGATTCTCCCGACGAGGTTATGCGAAGGAACTCAGAAAGACCTGAGCTCGGGTCCAATGAGTTTCTCCGTGGCGGACGGCCAGCGAGAGGTTGTCAGTTGTGTACTGACTTCGCTCGACATAGTCGGTGGTGGCCTGGAGGAGGCACCTGGCGCTCTGGTATCGAGAGGTGACATCGATATCAGAGGGGATGGTTGATGTATTATGTTTTATGGAGTAGGGATTTGGATGACGTGTTTTATTGTTCCGGCGATTACCGAGGAGAGCGGGGGATGTGCGTTGCACATGGAGCATCCTTACCCACGTGTTTGATGCACACGTGGAGATGATTTGACGGTACGGATATTACTGAGAGACCCGATGGGTCGAGCTATGTGATCATATCATCTTTACTTGAGAATTTTATGAGTGATTGGGATCTTTATCATCGGAATCATGTGCATATGAGTCGTCTAGGGGTAGAGTAGGTCCTTGTTTTGTCCATTTCAGGATCAGGTGGTGAGTGAAGTCTCCGGGAGAAAACAACGGAAAAAATCAGACGAAAACGCGGAATGTGGAACAAGAGCAAAAACAGGCTACTGCCCTGGAAAGAGATCTGGCCGCCCTAAAGTGATAGAAGCCTCGAGATTTAACAGAAAATTCAGGAGGGCCGCCCATAAGTTCTGCCGACCGCCCGAAAATGTGAAGCATATTCGGGCTCCCGCCCTTAAACACAAAGAGACCGCCCATTTCTGTCTGACGAAATTCATTTGTTGTTTTGGGTCATTTCCAAGCCCATTAGTGAGAAAGAAGAAAGCCCTAGGGTTTGCTGAACAAAAGAGGAAAGAGGGAAAGAAAAAAGGGATCTTTTGGCCATTTGAAGAGGGAGAAAACACTTGGGGGAAAACTTGGAGCTTGGGAGACTTGGAGAAGAAAAGAAGTGATCATCACCATTGAAGACCAATCTAAGCATTCCTTTCTCTTCTCTATCATGTTCTCTTTTGTTTCTTCTTGTTTTCTTCCTTTGAGTATGGAGTAGAACCCTAGTTGTGGGGGAGGGGTCCCCCTTTTGTGTATGGATGTTGGGTTTTCAATCTATGGTACTCTTTTAGTTGTTTCTATTGGTTTGATGTCTTATCCTTCATGCTTTTGATCTTGGCAAAACCTTGATTGAATGATCTTAGAACAACATTGATCATAGACATATGGGAATGGTGTTTTGACCTAGACATCAAATGAACAAAGCATTCACATTGAGAGATGGTTTGACTTGTTTAGGATTTATGATAGGGGTTGTTAATGCATCTAGGAGTCCTCTAGATCATCGAGAGATGGGTAGTTGAATTTCTAGGTAGTAGATCTAAGCTTGAGAGAGAAAGATCTTATACAAAAAGCCTTGAAATCCCCGATTAGAAATGATGATCATGAGTGCCATCACATTTTGAACATCCATACCCATGAAAGGGACCCCGAACCCACAACATTCGTGTCCAATCGTTTTCATCACACAAGTTTTGTTTGCTCATTTGACCCTCATTTCATATTTACATTTTCACAAACACCTTGCAATCAATATTTTCCATCACCTTTGATCTAGTTTAAGAATGAATTAACACAACCTAGTCCTCGTGATCGACCCCGGTACTACAACTACCGTATACTTGCGGATAGTGGTACGAATCGGGTTACAAATTTAGAACTCGGTGCGTGCGCATCAAGTTTTTGGCGCCGTTGCCGGGGACTAGGCGTTTTTCTGTGTTAGTCTAAGTTTTTGCTAGGTCATCATTGCTTGGGTTTCTACTTGGGATCTCTTAGTGTTACGATCTTTTCTCACCTTTGGCTAGTTTTCTTTTCACTCTTCTCTACGTGCAGATCTCTCGGTGTATGACAAGAAGCACAACCGACAAGGATCAACTTCTATTTGATTCAGAAATTGAGAGGACTGTACGTTTTACTCGGAAGCAACAAAGACAGTGGAAAATGGCCGAAGATTTGTTGAGAGAGAACAATGCTCGAAGGGAACTGAGACCAGATCCTTGCGGTATCCTATGTATGCGATGCACATAGAGATGATTTGACGGTTATGTCCGATGACTCGTCATTCGGACTGCGTGTGTATGATAAGTGATTATCTGTACCATTGATTGAACCATGTTTGTTGAGAGAGAACAATGCTCGAAGGGAACCACCAGCCCAAGCAGCCCCTAGAACGCTTCGAACGTACACACAACCGAAGCACACTCAACTACTCTCTTGCATTAACAAGGAGCCGTTGGAGGACTTTGAACTCCAACCACAATGCATCCAAATGCTCAACAACATGAGTTTCCGGGGTAGGCCCAATGAGGATCCAAATGCTCACCTTACCAATTTCAAGATGAATTGTAAGGCGATAAAGAAAGGGCCGGGAATCACCACGGAAGATGAGCTCCTTGAGGCTTTCCCATACTCACTCATGGAGAGAGCAAGAGATTGCCTCTACACTCTTGAGCCAAACTCCATTTCATCTTGGGATGAGATGGAGGAGCAGTTCCTTATGCAATACTATTCACCCACCAAAACTCAACACGCAAGGAATCGGATCAATGCTTTTATACAAGAGGATGGGGAGAATCTTCATGATGCATGGGAACGATTTAAAGAATACCAAAGGATGTGCCCTCACCATGGAATGGAACGAGATTACATCCTATCTATCTTCATTCATGGATTAAAGGATGACACTCGATCATGGATCGATGCGACATGTGGGGGTGACATCTATGACATCCCTTTTCAAGAGCTAGAAGCAACAATTGCAAAGTTGGCCAAAGGGCGAGGCCATACATCAAATGAGTTCAGTAGGAGGGGCTCAACAAAGGGAGATGCGGGAGAAAGAGCAGCACTCAAGGCAATGTTATCTGAACTTGCTGAGATACAGATACAACTTGCAAACAGTAAGCAAGTAGCAGCTATAGAGGAGCCAAGTTTAGCACAAATCCAACCGGGGATGTATTTGGTCAATCAAGAAGCGGAGGAAGCCAATTATGTTGGCCCAAACCAATACAACCACCCTTCCAACCTATACCATCCTGGGTTAAGGAACCACCCAAACTTCTCCTACAAGAACCAAACAAATGCAATGAACCCGCAATCGACATTTCAACGGAGCAACCAAGGACCCCCGGGGTTTCAATCTAAGTTCCAGCAACAAGTCCAAGGAAACCAAGGTTATCAAGGAACATCGAACTATAGACAACAACAAGAGCAACCAAAAGATCAAGATCCCGAGATCAAGGACATGCTGATGCAAATTCTCCAAGGGCAAAAGTCACAAGGAATCTCTATCGGAAACATCGAGAATGAGCAAATTGTATTCAAAAAGCAATTGGAAGGAGTACAAGCTCATTTAAAGATTTTGGACAACCAAGTGGCACAACTCTCATCTTCCTCATCGAGACAACAAGGTACTCTTCCGGGAAAGATTGAAGTGAACCCTCGAGAGCACATTAATGCAGTGGAATTGAGAAGTGGAAAGCAACTCCCGGAAATCGGTCCACCCATGAGCGAAAAAGCACTAACACCAAGGCTAACGAGGGAAGAGAAAGGCAAAGCGGTGGAAGAAAGCGACTCCACGATGAACACCCAGGAAAAGGAGCCGGCCTACATTCCTCCACCACCTAAGGTACCCACAATCCCTTTTCCCTCTCATTTGAAAAAGTTCAATGAAGAAAGTCAGTTTGGAAAGTTTGCGGAGATGCTGAAAAAGATGGAGATTACGATGCCATTCCATGAAGCGATTCTCCAAATGCCTTCCTATGCAAAGTTTCTAAAGGATATTTTGACTAAGAAGCGAGTGGTAGAAAAGGAAACGGTGGCCTTAAGCACTGAAATCAGTGTCGCCATTACAAGACACGAGCTCCCTCCGAAGATGTCGGATCCGGTAAGCTTCTCCATACCTTGCAAGTTGGGCAACATTGAGATAGATCGAGCTCTATGCGATCTGGGAGCGAGTGTAAGTCTTATGCCTTTGTCGATCTACAAGAAGCTGAATATAGGGGAATTGAAATTGAGATAGATCGAGCTCTATGCGATCTGGGAGCGAGTGTAAGTCTTATGCCTTTGTCGATCTACAAGAAGCTGAATATAGGAGAATTGAAGCCGACAAGAATGGCTCTACAATTGGCGGATCGTTCGATCAAGTACCCAGCGGGAATAGTGGAAGATGTACCCCTGAAGATTGGTGGATTTTACGTTCCGGTTGATTTCGTGGTATTGGATATGGATGAAGACTCCAAAGTTCCGATTATTCTTGGTCGACCCTTTCTAAGTACCGCAGACGCCATAGTTCATGTTAGAGCGGGAAGGTTGACAATGAAAATCGGAGATGAAACTGTGGAATTCACTCTCGATCAGAATCTCCGACAACCCTCCACCAATGATACAGTATGCTTCGTGGATGTCTTGGAAGCAATGGTCGAAGAAGTAATGAAAGAATTCCGAGAGATCGATCCGTTGGAAATATCACTAATGGCAACAAATGAAAGTTTGTATAGCAATTGGGAGGAGATTGAGGTGATCAGAAAGGCTTTGGATAGTGAAATAGAAGAAAGTGACGAGTTACAGAAATTTCAGGCGGCCCTCCCTAAATTTAGGGCGGCCAGCTTGAAAATGGAAGAATCAGAAATTTTTACAGAAAATTCAGGCGACCCGCTCACAAAAACGGGCGACCTCTCTACAGTTTCAGTTGGTTCACAGAAATTTCAGGCGGCCCTCCCTAATTTTAGGGCGACCAGTCTGAAAGTGGGGCAATCAGGAAGTTTTACAGAAAAAATGGGCGACCCGCTCACACATAAGGGCGAGCGCCCTGTCAGCTCAAGTGAGTCATGCAATTTTCAGGCGGCCCTTCCTCATGATAGGGCGACCCTCCCATTTTTTCTGAGCAAAAATGGAGAACAAACTCATGAAACACTCGAAGGGAACCACGAAGGCCAGAATCTCACAGCATACACCCTCAGTGACATACCTCAAGGATCTAAGATGACTCCCTCCACTGATTGGGACCCGGAGCAAGCACCGAAGGTGGAACTAAAGCCCTTACCACAAGGGCTTAGGTATGTCTATCTCGGTTCTAACTCTACATACCCTATCATTGTCAATGACTCTCTGGATGACGTTCAAATGGGAAAGCTGATTGCATTAATCAAGCAATATAGGAACGTTTTAGGGTACACGCTAGAGGATATCAAAGGTCTTAGTCCCTCACTTTGCATGCACCGCATTCATTTAGATGATGAGGCTAAGTCATCCATAGAACACCAGCGTAGACTAAACCCCACCATGAAAGAGGTCGTTAAGAAAGAAGTGTTAAAATTGCTAGATGCGGGTATCATCTACCCGATTTCCGACAGTACATGGGTTAGCCCGATTTAAGTTGTACCTAAGAAAGGGGGAATCACAGTCATCACCAATGAGAAAAATGAAGTAATACCTCCTCGGACTGTCACGGGGTGGAGAATGTGCATAGATTATCGCAAATTGAACACAAACACCCGAAAGGATCATTTCCCCCTACCTTTCATAGATCAAATGCTAGAGAGGCTTGCATTGCACTCGTATTTTTGTTTCCTCGATGGGTATTCTGGATTTTTCCAAATTCCTATTCATTCTAGCGATCAAGAGAAGACAACATTCACATGTCCCTATGGAACATTCGCATATAGACGCATGCCTTTTGGATTATGCAATGCACCAGTAACATTTCAAAGATGCATGATGGCAATTTTTTCTGATGTGATTGAAGATATAATGGAGGTGTTCATGGACGACTTCTCCGTCCATGGACCCTCCTTTAATGCGTGTCTAACAAATCTTCATCGAGTGTTAGACAGGTGCAGCAAGGCAAATTTGGTCCTAAATTGGGAAAAAATGTCATTTTATGGTGCAAGAAGGCATAGTTTTGGGGCATCGGATTTCAGATAAGGGGATTGAAGTTGACAAAGCAAAGGGGGAAGTCATAGAGAAACTCCCTCCACCAATGAACATCAAAGGCATTCGGAGTTTCTTAGGACATGCGGGGTTTTATCGACGATTCATTAAGGATTTTTCAAAGATAGCAAGACCCTTAACCGCACTCCTAGGAAAAGATGTACCCTTTGTGTTTGACGAGAAGTGCAACCAAGCATTCAAGACTCTAAAGCAAGCATTAGTGTCGCCACCAATTATTCAACCTCCAGATTGGAACATTCCATTCGAGTTGATGTGCGACGCTAGTGACTTCGCGGTAGGAGCTGTTCTAGGTCAAAAGAAAAATGGAAAACACCATGCGGTGTACTATGCGAGTAGGACACTCGATGATGCTCAAATGAACTATTCCACCACGGAGAAGGAGCTTTTAGCGGTGGTGTTTGCCTTTGAGAAATTCAGATCTTATTTGGTGGGCTCGAAAGTCATTGTTTATACGGATCACGCAGCTTTGCGATATCTTCTTACAAAGAAGGATGCCAAACCGAGATTGATCCGATGGATACTGCTGCTACAAGAATTTGACTTAGAGATTCGAGACCGGAAAGGGACGAAAAACACAGTAGCCGATCACCTATCAAGACTAGAAGTACCCGAAAGGTTGCCCATCGATGACTCACTGCGAGAGGAACAAGTTCTAGCTTTGGAGGTTAGTTTCGATACCCCTTGGTACGCAGATTTTGTCAATTATTTGGTTGCCAAGGTGATTCCCCCGGAGTTGAGCTACAGCGGAAAGAAAAAGTTTCTTCATGATGTTCGGGAATACTTTTGGGATGAACCTTTCCTCTTCAAACGGGGAAAAGATGGATTGTACAGAAGATGCATACCCGAAGAGGAGGTACAACAAGTGATTCACCATTGCCACGCATCGGATTATGCAGGCCATTTCGCATCGGCCAAGACAGCTGCAAATATTTTGCAAGCGGGTTTCTATTGGCCAACCTTATTCAAGGATGTGCACCGGTTTGTGAGTTCTTGCGACGCGTGCCAAAGGACAGGGAATATTTCACGCCGAAATGAGATGCTGCAACATTACGTACTTGAAGTAGAGCCGTTTGATGTGTGGGGCATTGATTTCATGGGACCGTTTCCCTCATCTTGCGGGAACTTATATATCCTTGTGGCTGTGGACTACGTGACGAAATGGGTTGGGGGATTAGCAAGTCCGAAGAACGACTCTAGCACTGTGACAAGGATGCTCAAACGGACAATATTTCCAAGATTTGGGGTGCCAAGAGTAGTGATAAGCGATGGGGGTGCACACTTTGTTAATAGGATAATCCAAACCCTTTTGACAAAGTATGGTGTCCACCATAGGATTGCCACCGCTTATCATCCGCAAACGAGTGGACAAGTGGAAGTATCAAACAGAGAGATCAAGTCTATACTTGAGAAGACGGTTGCTAAGTCAAGAAAGGATTGGTCATTGAAGCTAGAGGATGCGGTTTGGGCATATAGGACTGCCTTCAAGACCCCGATTGGAATGACCCCTTTTCAGCTTGTGTATGGCAAAGCGTGTCACTTACCCGTAGAATTGGAACACAAGGCTTACTGGGCCATCAAGGCTTTGAACTACGATTGGAAGACGGCAGCGGAGAAACGGGTTCTAGATCTACACCATTTAGAGGAAATTCGGCTAGATGCTTACGAGAATGCAAGGATTTATAAGGAGAGAGCAAAAAAATGTCTACACCATTTAGAGAAAATTCGGCTATATGCTTACGAGAATGCAAGGATTTATAAGGAGAGAGCAAAAAAATGGCATGACAGACATATCCTCCACCGCACTTTCAAGGAGGATGATCAAGTCCTACTTTTCAACTCGCGGTTGCGCCTCTTTCTAGGTAAGTTAAAATCTCGTTGGTCTGGTCCTTTTAAAGTTAAGAGGATTACTACTCATGGTGCTATCGAGCTCGATGATGGAAAGGGAAGTTCTTTCTTGGTTAATGCTCAGAGAGTTAAACTGTACAACCCAGGAAATGAACTCGGACCGAGAGGCACCTTAGCCCAACCCAGGAAATGAACTCGGACCGAGAGGCACCTTAGCCCTCGTGACTCCGTTTCACGAGTGAAAAGTGCTCTGGTCTAGCTGAGACCGAAAAACAGCGCTCTCGGGGGCATCCTGAGGTTGTAAATATCTTTTTCCGTTTTAGATATCAAAAAAATTCAAAAACCCCCAACATTTTGACCCTTTTTGTCTACCCCAACTCTTTCTTAGAAGAACCAGGCGAACCCTTCTGTTTTTCTCTAGCGATCGCTCAATTTTTGGAAATTTTGTGAATCAATTCATTTTCGGGCTACCAGCTCTCATTTTCGGGCTACCCTCCTGATATTTCTGAGCAAAATGACAGTTTTCAAAATTTAGGGCGCCCTCCCTACATTTTAGAGCGACCGCCTTTTGCGTTCGAAAAACAAACACAAACGAGCTACCGCTCGTGATTTGACGGCGACCGCCCTATTGCGATTCTAGGGTTTCATCTCTTTTATCCCCAAATTCGAACCCTATTCTCTCTCAACTTCAGAAACCAGAAAAAAAAAGAGAAGGAGGGGGAACTTACCACGATTTCCGCCGCAGCTCTTCTCCGTCGCCAGCCCAGCCTTCGCCGGTGTTCAGTCACTGCCGCCTCCTCTCTCAATGTCAAGTTCTCCACCTTTCCTCTCTCTCTTCCCCTTTTCTCTCTCTTCCTCTCTTCCTCTCTTCCATGGCTGCAAGGTAAACTCCTACATTCATCATCTCCATGAAGATTCTTAGGAGATTTTTGAGTTTTTCATGTCCCATTTTCCCGAAATTGCTGCTATTGAAACCCTAAGTGCTTATTCCAAGCTCGAATCTCGAAATTTTTGGGGATTTGCGCCTCCATTGTCGAGTACTGTTTCTCAGACAAAAACGGGCGTCCTACCCTCTTTTTAGGGCGGCCCTCCCATTATTTCTGAGCTTCACCAACTCATATATCTCATCATTTTCCGATTGTCATTTGCGTTAACATTACACCCCTAGTATTGCATTTGTATTTTTCTTTTTGCATTTCATAGGGCTCTTGCAAGACGCTCAAA